TCCCTTCTGCGTGTCCATTAATGTACGGTTTTGGGACGTGATAAAATCCCTCGACTGGTACATATATCGCAACTTCTATGGCCAGGTGGTCTGATGTAACCGAAAGCCCACTAGCTATTTAATATCTGGCGAGCTGTAGCAGTCACCCGCAACCCAGGTGATGGCATCGTCGTTTACAGTCCAGAAGGTTCACAGCACTAAAGCCCACCCCTGCTTCGTTTCCCTCCCACCGTAGAACTACTGTGAGGTATTACTTCGCGGAGGGGAGCGGCCTATAGCCTTTCTATGAAAAACTGCGGAGTTGTTCCGCCAGACGCAATTAAGTTCAAATTGTGTTTGCCAAAATGCAAACAATAGACTAGTTTTCTTCCGACTCAAGCATAGCATCCACAGGGTTATTAACCGCAAGTGTCCACCCCACCTTCATGCTCGACTTATCCCTTCGATTGCAAAACAGCGGGCAGACAATCAAACAGTGTTAAGCGTCTCCAGTACTATCCTTTGTGATTGTCTTAATGCTTAAATGGGTTCAAATAAATATGATTTCAAGCAACCATGCCTCGTAAATATTTTAAATAATAGATTGGTGCTAACACATATGTTAGTGTTTGGCCGAGCTTCTCCTTCGACTTGAGATGTGCGCCTTGATGTTGCCATACAAAGCGGAGAGACCTACAGGTTTACGCCGACCACCGAACGGCGATTGTATTTTTATGAGAAGCTGTTTTTCATGGCAGAAATACACTTGGAGATTTGCCATTGCCTGCCGCGGGACGACCACTGTTAAGAAAAAACCTTTTTCTGTATTTTTTTTGTGATGTTGCTTTGACCAGGGTTTGAACCCAGGTACTGATGAGTGAAAACGCGCACTGCTTACCACTACACCACAGCAGCCGAGGTAAATATTTTGGTCAGGTGGAAATCCACTTCCCCATGTTGACTACTTACCCAACTTGATATCTAGGGTATCCGGAGGAACGAGACTATCGCAGCTTCTACGTTCATCTGCTCCATTGTATCCAAATTTCGGTGCACGAATGGTTATCTTAGACCTATGGCACTCAGCTTTGGCGGTTGGAACGGCCTAGATTCCAATCCGCGTCTACGCTTCGGTTGCAGGAATTTCAAAGCCCCAAAGCCAAAGTTTGCTCATAGCTCATTGTACCAGCGGAGTACATTTCCAAGATTGTAGAGCCACAGTTGGTGGTACGCATGAAGTCACCTAGCACTATGTACCCGGTTATCGCCTTCTAACGGTACCCAGCTGTGCAGGTGGTGGCGGATGGTATGTACACGGCACCAGTTATTGCCAGTATTGCACCTCACCGATGTTGTGTTGCACCTTATCAGGCTAGTGCAGACACTGCAGTACCATCTGTCCTGGTGAATGCCCTGGGTTGCGTGTTGGAAGATGGTCTACTGGTTGATGGTGGGGCGGGTGTTGAATGTGTGGAGTGACGGATTTGTTATTGGTTGTTGCAACACGATGGAACCCGGATTTAAGAGCTATGTCCCGGCCCCGGTACAATAACTGCCTTAGACATCTCGTTGTAAAAAAATTAGAACTCTTTAAATGTTTACATTTTATTTAATATTAATGTTATTTTATGTACTAATCGACACTATACGCCATATAGTGAAAGCAAAATTTGTAATTGCGTCCCAGTTAAAATGAGTCAAGTACAAAGTATTATCGATAATCTTTTTTTTTGTACTATGTACCTGTAAAGAAATTCCCAAAAATGAACACCATTTTTTACTAGCTTCACACTGGCACTTTGTTTTACTAATATGCCAACTGGTATGCACATTAATTGAACTTTCCTGAGTTTTGCACGAAGTTAAAATTTTGTTTTTTTGTTGTGGTATGAACAATATTGTTATAAAAAATTCGCGAACAATTTTAATTAAAAAATGTTGCACACATTGTGAAAAATTCACTGTGCGGCATATGTATATACATAATTTTTATTTCAATTTTAGTATATCTTTTAAATAAGTGGCAGATAGTATCATTGAAACTTCGTTTTTTGAAAATTTGTATATGTAGATATATAGATAATTTTACATGCTTTTGTTACATATTGTGTATGTAATTTTACCTCCCCTCTTTCCTAACATTGGGTTTGTCATTTGGATTTGTTTTTTGTTTTTTTTTGTTTTCCAAGAGAGGACCACATACACTTTCTACCGCCAAGGTCACTTCTGAAATTTATAGTGTCTGGGGGCACAATAGACCTTCTGGTCGCAGTACTTTATTCAACTATGTATCTAAGTACGAAATGCTCTCCCAAAAGTGAATAAACTGCCCAAAACATGGGAACGCAAAAACCCCTTTTTCGTCCCGAAACGAATTGCTCAACCAGCTACCGACGTAAATGCGTAGAACGTGTCAGTTAACAAGACCTATCTTATGGGATTCTCGTCTTACCGAAAACTCATCACCGCACGACGGTGTCGTTGTCGGTGCTTTTCTCTCTCTATCAACAGTAATTTCGTATGTTAATACGGACGACAGGCACGAAAGGGCGCTCCGTCACTGGGTGGTTGAGCTATAAACGTCAAATCTCACTAAGTTATGAATTTAAGATTTGAGCGACACAATAACGCTAAACGAATTGTTCACTTGATATTTTTTCACTTATCCATTAAACAAAAACATGCGCATTTATCAGCTAAAATTTGAATTTTTCAAATTTTTCCTCTTCTTCTGGCAGTTTGACAGTTTTCACCAACTTGCTCGGAAAACTAGGTGCTCTCAACAGCCCGAGAACTAACCAAAGAAATAAACAATCGTGGTACAAAGCTAAATAAAAATATTAAAAAAATAAAATGTTAATAAGCCACAATAACATTGACAAATACATAGTTTAGGAAGAGCCTGCCTGAAACTATACAAAAAAGCAAAATAAGCAAATGGATGTTTAGAATTGACAACAACAACCACACTGTCGAGTTTAAGTAGCGGCAAATCAGCTGCACTTGATAGTAATTGGTTGAATAAGGAGAATGAATTAGCAACAAGAGTTTACGGGATGTACATAGCTCAGTGGTTAACGCTTCTGACTTTGAACATCGAATTCGCAGGTTCGATCCCTGCTGAAGTCTAGAAAAAAAGAAGTCTGATGAAGAGATGTGGTGATCTCCGAAATAGCTGCTATAACTTCTACCGCTTAGACTTTGTTGCTTTTTCAATTTTTCCTAATAAACAATCGTGGTACAAAGCTCAATAAAAATATCAAAAACAAAGAAGCACAAATTGGGTACTTTCGGGCACCTACGGCCGAGCAAAAGAACAGACTTATTGTGCGTCCCGGTTTCAGGAATGCAAAAGTTGGCAGCCCTGCCTACAGTCCATTGATACAATTAGCACTATATATCAAATTTGTTAGACATACCTGTATACAATTGTACATATTTACATACCTATGAATGCCATGAAGTTCGCTACTCGTGATAAGATAAAAGGTAGACTGAGAGGGAAACGTTCGTACATATAAACAAAGTGCCTGGGATTGCAGTGAAGAAAACTTGTTTGAAATTTTTATTTTTTCGCAAAGAGCGCAACATGAGTTGAGGTACACATACTTATGCATGTACAAACAAATTTAAAATGTGGTATTGTCAGCTATTACTCTATTCTCCACCGCTTATTTGAGGCCAAAATAAACTCAACATTCAAACTAACAGGTGAGGATGTACGGACAAAACAAAGCTTTCATTTTGCTTTTGTGTGCCGCCAGTAGTGCTGTGCTAGGCTTAAAAGGTGTGTAAAATGTAATAGATAGATTATTTTTTACTTTAATTTTAATTTTTTATTTAAACAAAAACTTTATTTTATTTCAGTGAATAACTGCACAGTGTCCAACAATGCTTCAATATCCAGCCCCTTAGTAGAGCCGTGTCCGGCGAATTCACAATGCATGCTGGTTAATAGTACATTTAAATGCATTTGCCTGCCTAATTTCCAACAAAATGCAATTCCTATCTCATTGCCCGACCTGGAACATGCGTTTATACCTTATTGCCTTCTAAAAAATGTAAGCGACGAATTGACAATGCAGCCAGCCGAGGAGCAATCAAAAATGATGTTCTATATTCGGTCACCTGCAGAGATGGAGAATTTAGTTTTTGCCATTCTGCTCGTACTACTTGGTGTCATATCTGTTGTGGCTATTGTGTACCTTATAAAGCTTTTGAGACCTTTGAAAAGGACGAAAGTTGCTTATGTTAGGCTGATGCGGCGAAATAACAAACACCAGCGTTTAGTGGAGGAGGAAGTATATGACGGTATCGCTATGACTCGACGTGATGAAAATGCGCAGTATTATTAAAAATTCCAACACCATACTCAAGAGTGTGCTTACTTGCTTTGTGACCGTATAAATATATATGTATACATGTACAAATTACCTCAATCTGTGATTTAAAAATTCGTTAAAACCGTTGTACAACATATACCACGTTTATACGTAAGCTATTTGCAAATAAAAATAATTTGCAAATACCTAACTCACTGTTTATTCGACGGTGAAAAATTTGTATTTAATATTGCCTGATTATAAAACGGCAATAATATGACCATCGAAAAAGAAAATAAAATTTAAAATGGCAACGTCTTGATTATAAAAAGGCAATAAGATGAACATCGAAAAAGAAAATAAGCATAAGAATGGCGGCGTCTTGCGCTTATTTGCAACTAGTATCACTAATCAATACTTATTTGCGTGATTTAGTTATTTGCAAATAAAAAATTAACTCAGCGTTTATACGGCAAAGTTTACCATTTTGCAAATAAGACGTGCGTATAAACGTAATAATACACACATATGTACATACTATGATGTGGTATAAGCACTTGCTTTTTTCGAAGATAATAAAAAAACCTTACCTTTTAACTATTAGTGGGGTCTAAACACTGATTTCATTACATCTCACAGTGATATGAATCGAATCTGTAGTCAAAAAAAAAAAAAAAAAAAAAAAAAAAAAAATGGTGGGTCAAGTTTAAACCTGATCTGGCAGGTTTAAGCTAAGATCAGCCAGCTGTTCAATTTAAACTGTGTTTACTTAATCTAAGTACCGAGGTTTAAGTTCTTGACTAATTTCAGCTTAACTGATTTCTTCCTTCTTTAGATACGTTTAAATTATTTGAAATTTACTATCGAATAGGTTTTTTGTTGAAAAATATATTTAGCTTGCATCTATTATAACACGAAAAATTGTAGTTTGAAAAGGTAAGTTTATGAAAAGGCATTGATGAGTGGCAACACTGCAATAAGCAACACTGAGGGCTCCAGTTGGCACTGAAAAACTGGCCCTAAGTGTAGTAAGTGAATAAAAAAGGTGCTATTGTGGAAAAGTTTTTTGTTAATAACTTTTGATCGGGTAAAGCAAGTAAATTTCTTGTTACTGGGGTCCACACGCGTCTAATGGTACCCCTTTCCTAAATTTTGATCAATTTTAGGGGTTGAAAGCCCACCTAGATAATTACCAAAAAAAATTAAATTTCCGCTTTCGGATTCTTGTTACTGGGGTCCAGACGCGTCTTATAGTACCCTCTTTCCTAAATTTTGGGGGTTGTAAGCCCACCTAGATAACCAAAATTTTTATACAAATAGGTTTGCCCAATTCCCAAAGTTTTTAAATTTTCATTTTGTATTATTATTCATATTAGTGGTATTCATCTAAACCGATAACTTTGTCAAGCAGATAATCTTATAACTTTACGTAATCTGTTACGTTAACGACCCATGATATAAAAAAGAAGATAGTTTCAATAAACAACTTTTGACGGATAATACAATTTTTTGAAGTTTCATAAGTTGTGAGTATTCTCAACGGCCTTGCCACTTTGATAATATTAAAACAATAAATCGGAGTATTTTCTTTCCCACATTTATACCAGTTTACCAATATTTCAAATCAAAAATCGTAATCAGTGCTTGGTAATTTTTTTCTACTTACGTGGTACGCACATTTTTTTATTAAAAATTTATAAATTGTTTAATGATAAAGGATACTTCATTGAAATTGTTCTTTTTATTTTATAATAAAAATCACGAGAGCTTTATGTTGTTATTTTTAATTTTCTTATTTTGAATGCAATCTTGCGATTTAAAAATCAAATTCTAAAAATAAATGTTTTTATAATCGCCAAATCCATGTGAATAAATTGTTCTCATAACTTAACATGCAAAACAAAAACAAATTGACATTTTTTTTTATTTGCTTTATAATTTTTGGGAATATTTGTTCACATGAAATTCGTAATTCGTGATGAAATTCATGAAAATTTACTTTTAAATTTCTCATCCGATTTTGCAAAAAATTAGGCTTTGTGGTTAGCGTATCACCATTAACTTCAACAAATTTCGAATTTAAAATTTCCAATGTATGCAAAAAACTTGAATACGGCTTGCGCATAACGCCCTCTGATAAGCAATTAGCACAAGTATAATTTTGATCACTTTGTTCATCCGTTCTTAAACCTAGTTTCGTCAACCCCATTTTGGAGATTATGCATTAGTTTTCAAATCCATCATATTCGACATCTTTGAGTGGACTGATGAAATCTTCTGCTTAAAAAAAATATTACTGCTCGTGATCAGGTAGCATGAATTTAATGAAATGTCATAATTTTATTAAAAGTCAAATGGTTAACAACAACAACGAATGTCATTAAATGAAACTACCTTCTTTTTTGTATCATGGAACGACCCATAGGACACATAGGGCACACTGGACTGTTCAGTCCGCCTAAAACCGGTTTTGTGTGGGTAAGAGGGGGAAGTTTATAATTTTTTCCCATTTAGTGAGTTAGTTTCTATAATTTCTTTATCCTCGTGCTAGTAGTAAAAAGTTAGTGATACTGAGCTCTATATCCAAAGAAAACACGACTATTGTCACAAGTGTAAACGAAAAGAGAGTATGGGTCATTCATGTAACAGAGTGCGTAAACTTATAAGACTATCTGCTTGATAAAGATCGGTTTAGATGAATACCACTAGTGAAACAAAACAAACAGAACGGATAATAATTACATAGCTAGAGTTGCGACAGAGTTGCATTGGCTTCCGTTTATCAAGTTTATTCAGTGAAATTGCAGAAATTTATTAGAAATGTGTAAACGAATTTTCATACAATTTTTGGCAGTTCATTTATAATAAGGTTCACCCCAATTATAAGTTTATACGGTTTACAATGCATTTATAAGGTTTGATGAATACCCTTATTAACCTTGTAATGTACATTTATGATTCGATACGATATCGTTTGAAAACTATCGAGTAAAAAGTATCGGTATCGAATGGCAAAAATATCGATATGGTATGGAATCGTATGGAAATTCGTGTTACTATATTCAATTCACTGATATTTTATTTATCAGTTGATTTTTGACGCAGTTTATACAAATATCGTGAACTTTTGGAGGAACTGTGATTTTCAGCTGGAGTTGAGACGACGAACACATCTTGACGTTCTTCCTTCACAGTACGCACCTGCGATATTAAAGTTAAATTTAACAACAAACAATTTACCAAGTGCATAATGCAAGAAGAACCGGAAAACTGTCCGGGCGTGGGGACAGAGAATGCCGGAAAAGCCAGCGCCTGTGCAGGCTGTCCCAATCAGCGCCTGTGTAGCGATCCTAACACTAAAGTAGAAGATCCCGGTAAAGCGCTTGTTGCTCAGTCCATGCGCGAAGTCAAACAAAAGCTCCTCGTACTTTCCGGCAAAGGTGGTGTGGGCAAAAGTACGGTGACTACATTGTTATCACGTTATTTAGCACGCGTATATTCCGACCGTAACTTTGGCGTATTGGATGTTGACATTTGTGGGCCTTCACAGCCACGATTGCTTGGTGTTGAGGGCGAAAATGTACATCAATCTGGTTCTGGTTGGTCGCCGGTTGGTGTGGATGACAACTTATGTTTGATGTCTATAGGATTTCTTCTTGGCTCACCTGATGATGCAATTATTTGGCGTGGTCCGAAGAAGAATGGCATGATTAGGCAATTTTTAAGTGAAGTAGATTGGGGACAACTGGACTTGCTCATATTAGATACCCCTCCAGGTACATCAGATGAACACTTATCAATAGTATCATATTTGCGTGATGACAGCGCACCGAACACCTTGTATGCATTGATTGTGACAACACCTCAAGAGGTCTCATTGTTAGACGTGCGAAAGGAAATCAATTTTTGTAAGAAGCAGCGTATACCAATATTGGGCGTAGTAGAGAATATGAGTGCATTCCGATGTGGGCATTGTGGACAAACCTCAGAAATATTCCCGGCAAAGACAGGTGGAGCAGCGGTAATGTGTGCCGAAATGGAGGTGCCATACTTAGGCGCATTGCCGCTAGATCCACAGGTGACAAAGGCGTGTGATACCGGCGAAGATATAACAGACATAAAAAATTCAACGGTCGACGCGCTAGCTAACATTTGTCAAAAGATCGTTATGGGGCTGGAAAGCGCGTGAGTGAGACTTCTGCCGACGTTGTTTTAAAAAATCATGCTTAAATTTGGTTATATTTATTATTTTTGCTTTTAAACCAAAATGAATAAAATATATGCATACGTAAATTAGTCACCGTTACAAATTCTTATAATCAGATCAATATTTATAAGTTTAGGTAATCGTAATAATTTTGTTTTAACAACGGGAGGGGTTTTATAAAAAAAAGTAAAAAAAAAAGAAATAGTGCATGCAAAACATTAACAAGTACTACATCTCCGCTGAACATCTCAAGATGTTGCTTTCTGGGCAGGCGGCAGCGGTTTCTTGAAGAATGTGTCAGTAATACTGCTGTTGGTACTAGTGCCGACAGCCGATATTGTCGAACGTGTTGTATCGCTCCCGAGGTCCTTCTGGACCATTTGCGATAGGGCAGTACTCTCACAAGGAGGCGCAAAAGTAGTATCGCGACCTTGCGTTGGTGCTACAGATAAGGTTTCACGTTCTTGGGATGGAGGCGCATTTTCCGAATTCTCTTCTAAAGGCGATAATGGAATAACTTGTAAGGCGGGCAACTTGGTCTTGAGTTGGTCAAACATCGAGTTAGTATCGAATGTTGTTTGTGACTGCGTCTGTGTCTGTGTTTGCATTTGTGTGAGTGGCAGGGGTGGCGGAACATTTTTAATCGTCACAGAATCTGTGCAGTCCTTTACTTTGTATATACCCACAATGTAATCGGATAATTCGAACATATTTGAACGTAAGGAAATGATGATGAACTGTGCGTTTTTGGTGCGCTCCTGTATAGCGGTGGGTTATTGGAAATTAAAAATACATTTTTATAAATTTTATTTTTATTATTTGGACTAACCTTTATGTAGTGGGCCACAATGGAGATGTTCTTGAAGTCAAGTGCCGCATCTATTTCATCCATAAAGTACAATGGCGAAGGCTTATAGTAATGTAATGCGAATACCAATGCCAATGAGGACAGCGTTTTTTCGCCGCCGGACAGATTCGATATATTCTTCCACGTCTTTTTCGGTGGTCGCACACTAAAGCTTACACCCTCCGTGAAAGGATCCATTGAATCGACTAGCTCCAGCTCAGCATCACCTCCTTGTGTAATCATTTGATACATTTCTTTCAACTTGCGTGTGATTATCTTAAACCCCTGCATGAATTCATTATAACGCTTTTTGCGTAGATCATCGTAAAGCTGCCGCATTTCATTCCGTTTTGATGTGATGTCTTCCAGTACTTTTACACGCTCCAGATATACATTACGCTTTTCAATATATTCGTCGATGCACGACAGGTTGGGCTTTTTCTTTAGCAATTCTTCCTGTACACTCTCTTTGTATTGGATATCTTGGAGAGTATGTGCGGCAAGCTCTTCTTCAGTGTACGTTTTGAGAGGCGGTTGTGGTTCGGAATCACCGGGAATCTGGTGTAGACGCAACGGCTTCAGCTGATCACGCCAGTGAGGAATTTGAGATTTAACATCGGATATTTTGACAGTAACGGTTTGGAGTTTCTGGTCAATTTCCACACGTTTCAGAGTGCTCTCACCTGTGGAGTTTGAGTTGCAAAATAATTAGGGTGGGTTCATTGATATTTGTATAAATTTGAAAAAAATTCGTACATAAAACAATAGTTTTTAAACATAATTGTATCCCTTATTTTTCCAAGTCTATAACATTGATTTTCCACTCACCTTCACGCTTTTGTAACGCAGCAATTTCCTTTTGTATTCCCGACGACTCACTTTTGGCACTTTCGATGGCTTTCTGTGCTTCTTCGATCTCTTTCACTAGCCGCGCAGTTTCGTCGTCATAATTTTGCCGTTTCGCACTCATCTCCACCAACTCATCCTGCGCTTTTATTATATCCTCGTTTAGCTGCTCAAGTTGCTTTTCCATTTTTGCCACATTGCGTTCGGATGTCGTTACTTCAACTTTCAACTTAGACATGTTATTATTTAGCTTCTTAATTTGTGTGCCCAGATTGTTGATTTTCGTCTGTACTGATTTCACTTTATCGCCATGTATACTATCAACCTCTTTCTTAACCTCAGCTATTTTTTTAGTGACTTTGTCTGCCTCTTCCTCGGAAGATTTCAGCGTCTTCTTTTTCACAGAAATCTCAGCCTCAATGTTTTTCACCTTAGCCGCATCGGTAGTAGTTTGTTCCATGCGCTTCTTCTGTGTCTCTAATTGCTTAAAAATACGTGGCAGTTGCTCATCCAAACTCTTGATGGTGATGCCGAGTTTTTGAATTTCAGATTCATTTTTCTGCTTGCTTATATTCAGTTGTTGCAGTTCCCTCTCCAGACGACCTTGTTCCTCCTGACTGTAATTAATTTCAGATTGCAGTTGCTCGGCCTGCACTTGCATATCTTCCAATGCTTTTTGCGACACCGTTGACGTATCGGCAGATTGTTTGGTCTTTGTTTGTACTTTGGTGCCCATTTTGCCACGAATTTGTGTACGACCACCACCTGACATGGTACCGGATGTTTCGATAACATCACCACTCAGCGTTACGACGCGATAACGACGAGCGCCATAGGCAATACGTGAACCTTGTTCGAGATCGTTTGCAACGAGGGTGTTGCGAAGCGCAAAATAGAAGGCGGGGAGTACACGTTCATCCTCAACACGCACCAAATCATACAGACGCGGTGCATTCTCAGGGCTAAAATATTAAAATGTAAAGCGAGTTTTCATAAAAATATTGCTAATTTAGTTACACTTACGTTTGTATTGGCCCCGATTGCTTCTCCAAATGCTGTACCTTCTCCAGTGCAATAAAGGTGGCACGTCCAATGTCGTACCGCTTAAGGTGTTCAATGCACTCTTGAGCCGTATTGACCGTATCTACTATGATGTCATCTAAACGTCCGCAGGCTGTTGAAATAGCCACATCAAATTTGGTGTCAATCGCACCCAAATCACCCTGTTCGAGATTGGAAAATATATCATTGGTTAGTTTTATGCAAAGTTTTTAATTTGGGCAGCAACTGGTACTCAAAAATATTAGGTTTGTTTTCTTAATTGTACTCACCAATCTACCCAAAATTCCTGGTATTTTGCCCTCGTTCTTCTGCCTCATTAAAAAGTCCAATACCTTATTATTTGATCGCGTCGTCTGCAAGCTGACTGTTTTTTCGTTTATCTGTAAAAAAAAAGGAGAATAAAATGCCAGTTTTAAAATTTTAAATCGATATTCATAAACTACCTTAAGCCAAACAAACTCACCTCAGCCTTGAGTGTCATTAGTTTACCGCGCATATGTTGTTCGCCCACTTGCAACTGTTGCATTTTCTGTGTTTTCATGACAATCTCCTTTTGTATTTCGGGCAAACGACTTCTCATTTCTTGTACTGCTTTACGTTTTTCCTCTAGACTGCTACTCGATTCATCATAAGAGGTTTTCATCGACTCATATTTCCGTGTTTCTGTCGTCTCATCGTGTTTGAGAATTTTCAATTCAGATTCCGATAGCGCCAAGGCAGCTTTGGCTTCGTCAACGTGTTTTTTTAGTTCGACCAATTCAGTTTCCATTTTTTCACGCTTTTCAATAAGCGGTTTTGTCAAGTTCTCTAGCGTCACATAGTTTTTTTGTAACTCTTCCTCCATTGCAGCTTTATCTTTAGTTAGTTTTTCCACCTTTTTCTGGCACTCAGCAATTTCTTTTTCATTTTTATCTGGTATTTTACGCAGATCTATCAATTCATTATTAAGTTTTTCCATTTGAGTTTTATGCTGCTTGCGCCGTTTGTTGGTCATATCCATCGTCTGTTGCACTTCAGTAAAATTTTTATGCGCAGACTCCCACTGCTTTTCAATCGATTCCTTTTTCTTCCGCAGTGCATCGAATTGGCTGAATCAAGTACAGTGAACGTTAATTAATAATTATAGCTTTATTGATACCAAATTTTGTTGCAATAACACTTACGCAATTTCTTCGCGTACTTGTTTCTCCTTCTCTTCCCGTTCCTGCTTCAGTTTTTCCGCTGCTTCATCGTGCTGCTTTAGCTCTGCCGATATTGTCTCATGCTCCTTCTTATATTCCTCTAGCTTTTTATTTTTTTCGCTAAGGTATTTTTGTATGCGTAAATTTTTAGTGCGAGTATTTTCATTTTCGCGGCGCAAATAATCAACGGCATCATTATATGGTTGCTCCAAATCTTTCATTTCGCGTTCGGCCAACTTACAGCGATTATGTTTTTCAGTACGCTCTTCCGTTAGCTGCTCAACTCGTTCATTTATTTTCACCAGTGGCTCCTTATATCGCGTCGTACCTACAATATCTTCCATATACTCGAGCATGCCACATTCGTTCTCTGTTAAGCCTTTTGGCTTCATCATAGCAATCGACTCCACTTCTCCCTATAGATAAGAAAATAACAAATTAGCGACTCCGAATGTAAAAGTCAATTTTCCCCGACTGACCTGCAAAATTAAAAATCGATTGTGATCTAAATCGACGTTATGTTTCTTAAGTAGCTTTGCTACTTCCTTGAACTGTACTCGACGCCCATTGATCGTATAATAGGAAGAATTATCTCGGAATGCTATGCGTTCAACAATAATATCACTGTCAGGAATTTCCTCGCACGTGCCATCCTCCTTGTCCAAAATTTCCCGGAAATGCACCGCTACCGAGCACATGGACATATTAGGATATCTAGCGGAATTATGCAGTAACGTCGATATTTTCTTGCAACGAATTTTATTGGCTCGATAGCCAAACACAAACAACATCGAATCGATGACATTGCTCTTACCGCTACCGTTTGGTCCAATTATAGCCGTGAAACACTGAAAAGCATGTAACAATAAGAATTTATAACAATCACATTCAAGTAACTGTACTGGCACATTAACTTACATGATGGAAGGGACCTAGTACTACTGTACCAGCGTAGCTTTTGAAATTTTTGTTTTCAATTTTTTTGATAATTAATCGCGGACCTTTACTTTCCGTTGAACAGTGTGGTGGAATAGGCGGGGGTATGTATATATCGCCAATTCTTGTTCCACCCTCTTCGTCATCCGAAATATTCGCTTCATCCAAAGCGTGATGCTCCGCCGCTTCCGGTTCGTTGCCGGTCGCTGCTGCTGCTGCTGCTGACGCGGCCATAGCATTTGCCCTACCAGTAGCTGCACCCGCTGCCGTTCCACCATCCGTCTGACCACTTCTACGCCGCTTTTCTGGCGTTGTTTGTTTCTGTTGTCCTGGTACGGACTTCCGCTTGGATGACGACATTATGGATTTTGGCGCCGGCAGGCAATCTGGCCAGGTGATAAGTGAATATCAGTATATCTGCAATTTATGACAATTATTCACACTAATCTTGTTTACACATGTCTAGCGACTTCGGAAATAGGCATTAAGATCTTTTAACACATTCCTACCGTTCTTTATAGAATGCTTTAATAAAAATTTATTTGTTAATTGGCGCCTGATACGAAATGAAAACAAATAGCTATGCTTGTCCAAATCTCGTAAGCGTCGTAACGCTTTTCAGTTGAAATGTGCTGAATGCACGGTTGCATTTTAAGGTATCAGAGGCAATAAGGTTTGGAAATATGGTGATTATCCGCGTTTCTTGGTTTAAGAATATACATTTCTTAGCAAATTATTGATATTTATTTAAAATGTACTATGATAAGCATATTAGTCCTCCCCGAACTTATTGAAAATAACTTGTAAATATTGTGTATTCAGCACCACCATTTTTGTTTGTAAGCGCGCTAATGGCAACGCTGCCAGCTGTCAATAACATTAATGCTATTCCTTTTTTGACACTGAACCCTGGAATACAGTGATATGAACGCTCGTTTGTGTTTTAAATTAACAACGTGTTCGGAGCGCTCCCACTAAGGCCAAACATTTTTTTTTTGATTGATTGATTGATTTATTTAGTAATATTTGATTACTTGTAATTACAGTGACACTATTTACCATAACATTATTTTGAGCTGTCTAAACTATTTTCTCACAAATTCTATACATTTTCTTTTATATAAGTGTACATTTTTTTCTTTTTTGGTATCTTCATTTAACATATTAAATCTTTTAAAACCTTTATAGAATACATTATTCTGTGATGACGCTTTGCCATGCTTCTGTAGTCTTAAGTCAGTTGCGTTTCTTAATGCATATGGCTGCACTCCTCCAACGTAGATGACCTTCTCCGTTATGTAGTCCGGCATTTTACCACTAGTAGTCAGATATACAAACATAAGCGTATTGAGCTCCAATCTTTGCCGCACGTTCAACCATTTTAAGACATCCAGCACATGCTGGACTGATGTGTACTTGTTGCATCTCAATATTATTCGCATAGCTTTATTCTGAAGCTTTTGCATTCTGTCGATTTGCGCATTATTACAACATGAAAATAGTATTATTGAACAATATTCGAAATGAGGCTTTAATATCGTATTGTATATTC